ATGGAAATAAAAGAGACCTCGTGTAAGCAAAGCACTACTGAAGAAGAAGAACAAAGTAGGATGTCTCACACTCCCCAATCTCAAAACCTACTACACAGTCACAGTAGGCAAAACAGCTTGGTATTGCTACAGTGACAGACACATAGACCAGTGGGGCAGAATTGAGAACCCAGAAATGGATCCATTGACCTCTGGTCAGCTGATCTTTGATAAAGGGACAAAGTCCATTAAATGGGGAGACAAAATCTCTTTCACAAATGGTGTTGGTAAAACTGGATATCCATTTGCACAAAAATGAAGCAAGATCCGTACTTCACACCATACAACAAAACTAACTCCAGATGGATCAAAGGCTTAAATGTGAAACCTAAAACTATAAAGTTCATCAGAGAAAAAATAGGGGCAAACTTAGGAGTCCTAATTTTTGACCTAAATAGACTATCAAGCATAATCCAAGAGGAACAAACAGCAGAAGATAAACTAGATGATTGGGACCTTCTAAAAATTAAATTCTTATGTGCATCAAAAGACTTCTCCAAAAGAGTAAAAAGACAATCTACAGAATGGGAAAAAATATTTGGCAATGACATATTAGATAAAGGATTTAGCTCTAAAATTTATAAAAAAAAACTCCAGCACCTCAACATCAAAAAGACAAACAATCCAATTAAAAAAATGGGCAAAAGGCATGAACAGATACTTCACCAAAGAAGATATTCAGTTATCCAACAAACACGTGAAAAAATATTCATGATCATTAGCCATTAAAGAGATGTAAATCAAGACAATAATGAGATATCATCTCACCCCAGCATTAATAGCACAGTTCAAGACAGAAAAGAACAAATGCTGACAAGGATGTGGAGAGATTGAGACTCTTCATACACTGCTGGTGGGACTGTCAAATGATACAACCACTGTGAAAATTGGTATGGCGATTCCTTAAAAAGTTGGAAAGAGAGTACCATTTGATCCAGCACTCCCATTACTAGGTATATATTCTAAAGAGAGAACCAGGACATGAACAGACATATGCACACCCATGTTCATTGTATCACTATTCACTAGAGCAAAGAGAAGGAAACAACCTAAGTGCCCATCAATGGCAGAATGTATAAACAAACTGTGGCACATACACACAATGGAATACTATGCAGCCCTAATGAATAACGTAGAATCTGCAAAACACTGCATTATGTGGATGAACTCCGAGAACATGCTGAGTGAAATAAGCCAATCACAGAAGGACAAAAATTGCATTAGTCCACGTTGTAAAAAGTCAGGGAAAAGTTTATACATGGAAGGAAACTTTTGTTGTTGGTTACCAGGAATGGGAGGGGAGAAGGGGTTAAAGTCTGGGATAGGCTGAAAAATAAAGAAAATGGCCAATAAGCATGTGAAAAGATCTCAACATCTTTAGCTATGACGGAAATGCAAATCAAAATCACAATAAGTTACCATTTGTACCCCTAGATGGCTATTAAAAAAATAAAAAAAGATAATAATAGGTGTTGGTAAGCATGTGGAGAAACTGGGACTCTCATAAAATGTTGGTAGGAATGTAAAATGATGCAGTCCCTTTAGGAAACATTCTGGTAGACCCCCCAGAAGGTTAAACATTGAACTGCCATATAATCTAGAAATTCCTCTTAATTTTTATAGCCTCTTAGGTACATATCAAAGAGAAATGAAAACACTTTCTACACAAAAACTTGTACAAGAATCTTTAAAGCAGCATTATCCATATAAACAGTCAAAACTGGAAAAAGTTCAAATATCTCTCAATTATTAGATATAGAAAATGTGGTATGTTAATCAGCAATAAAGGGAACGGACTACTGATGCATGCTATAAGACGGATGACCATCAAAAACATTATGCTAAGTGAAGGAGGCAGACACAAAAGACTAATTATTGTATGATCCCATTTATATGAAATGTCTGGAAAAGGCAAATCTTGAGAGATAGAATGCGGATTAGTGGTTGTCTGGGTGTAGGAATGAGCACCGACTAAAAATGTGCCTAAGGGATCTTTTGGGGATGGTGGAAACCATCTAAAAATGGATGCTGGGGATAGCAGCACAACTCTTTACATTTATTCAAAATACGTAAATTGAACAATTAAATTTCATGGTATGAAAATTATACCTCAATAAATTTCTTTTTAAAATGGGTACCTGCTGATCCCTCCCTTTGGACTGTCCTCCTCCAACTTAACTACTTGGAAAACTCCTATTCATGCTACAAAACACAACTCATCTGTGAAGCCTTCTCCACCATTTCCTGAAGCAGAATTACTGCACTTTTTTGCAGATAATGTGTCCATGTAAATACTGTGCACATACATGTAACACACATAGCGCACACTAGGAAACAAAATAGTGAGGGGGTTTGTGCAGTTTGCAAAAGAACACATAACACGTTATTTGCAAAAACACTCAGGAGTGCCTATTTGCTCCGCTTCTCTACCATAACATACCTTGATTACAGCCCTTTTCACATGGCAATGTAATTAGTTCTCTCTCTTGCTGTACTCTGTGCTCCTTAGAAAAGATAGCAATATGCCTGGCATATAAAACTTAGTGTTTGGTTAATGAAAAAATAAGTGAATATTCAAGAATTAGTCAAGTGAATTTAATCAACAATTACTGACTTTTTATTATATACAAAATACTAATGAAAGAACCAAGATGATTAGCCAAAATTACATAACAGATAGTAATAGTTTCATTTTTTCAATATTTATTAATGTGCCACCGCCCTTGTCTTGTTTACTTCCAGCTACTCTAAGAGGTAACTATAACCATCTCCATTTCCCGAATGTAGAAACCAAGTCTTAGAGGGGCCTCAAATCACCCAGTGAGAGTTGTCATGAAGTAAGTATGCAAATCCAAGCCAAAGCTATGCTTACTTGGCAGTATGGGCGCACCATGAAAGTGAAAAAACAGTGCTTTCATTTAAGGGTTTATAATGCACTGTCATTATTGGGACAAATCTCAAACATAATATTTCAATGGTCTGAATGCATCTGGATGAAATGTGGTATTTTTGCGGAGGGGCTGTTTTCTGTGCTGTTAGTAATTTTGTGACTTGCAAAAATAATTATATTATATCATGATATACAGATAATAATGTTCATATTGTATGGAATTATACTCTTCTTTTTTGTTTAAATCCTAACTTGTTCAAACTCTTAATTATAACCACTTCTCCAGTAAAGGCCAAAAGGGGATGTATTGCTATCTTATCATCCTATTAATTTGCATTGCCGCTTGGTATGAAAACAAAGCAGTTTTTTTTTGTTTTTTTTTTTCTCTCTCTCTTACTGGAAATAAACATGTTTATCACACCACAAAAAGTAAGTTTTTCTAGTTTGTAATCATTTAGATTAAAAAAATAACTGCTATCCACCCAGGGCAGCTACACATGAATAATTCAACTGATTGAAAGTATGTTTGCCTAAAGGTATTAAAATATATTTATGCTGTGTCAAAAATTAGAAATTTGACATGAAAATTTTCTGAAAAGATCTCTTAGGGTCAAAGGATTATTCAATTAGGATGAAATATAAAAGCCTACTGAAATTTGAAAACAAAAAATAGTAATCACTGGGATTGCATACCTAAAACCCACTCAGTTTATTCCTGTCTTAATGAGTTCTCTCAGTCTAGATTCTGAATTTTCCTGTGTGGGCCACACACCAACAGCAGTGTCATTATCTGGGAGCTTGTGAGAAATGGAACTTCAGATTCTATTCCCAATTTACTGAATCTGCATTTTCATAAGATCCCTAGAGAAGTTGGTGCACCTTAGTTTGATAGGCCCTACTCTAGGTTAAGGAGCCTCTGGGTGTACAAACAAGGAGCTCTGGTGGCACAGTGCCTAAGGCATTTGGCTGCTAACCAGATGATTGGTGGTTGAAAGCCACCAGCCACTCTGCAGAAGACTGGATACTCTTCTTCCATAAAGATTCACCACCTCAGAAACACAAAAGGGTTCACTATGAGTTGGAATTTATTCAATGGCAATGAGTTATTTTTTGGGGGGTGGTGGTGGTGGGGTGGTGTTCAAACAGTTTAGGCACTCAGCTGCTAACTGAAAGTTTGGTGGTTCAAATCTGCCCAGGGGCACCTCAGAAGATAGGTTTGGAGATCTACTTCTAAAAAATCAGCCATTGAAAACCTTATATAATACAGTTCAACTCTGACACACATGGGGGCACCATGAGTCGGTATCGATTCAGTGGCAGTTGGTATCTCGACTCTAGATTGCACCTCTAGCTAGTTGTGTAGCTCCCTCCCCCTTCCACCCCTTTTGGATCCCACCTTGAACATCACCTCTTCTCACCATAGTTGATCACAGTCCCATCAACTCAAGCTATTATTAAGTCTAAATTTCACTACCTTAAATCATCTCCCTATTCCCTTCTCCTCTTTCTCTTTCATTCCCTTCTTCCTTTCCTCCTCCTACTTTCTTTCTCTATTGGTTTACTGTCTGTCTCTCTCTACAAGAAAATATACTCCAAGAGAACAAGGACACACTTGTCTTGGACATGCTTTATCCCCTTATTCTAAAATAATGCCTGGGTCACAGTACCTGCTCAATATATACGTGATGAATGAATGACTATATCAAGAGTTGATCTGGTTATATACCCTATCAATACTGCAAACCTTATTTTTCAATCTGCTTAACCAATACTTCATTTCCTTCAATTTCTTGATCAATACTAATGATCTACTGCCTTAGAGTATTCACATGCACTGACATTTCACAGATAACATTTTACCAGGCATAAATGTCTACATGAAATCTATTTCCAGGGCCTTCCAGGAAATGCCCCAAGAGGTATCTAAATGCAAGAGTGACAATAAAAAAATGAAATTAATTTCTCCAAGTCACACAAGAAAATCTTTCTCATTATTTTGATAGCACAGTGTTACCAAAATAACAAGCTCAATGGCCATTAACTTATAATTTCTAATAAGACAGTTTATTACCTTAAATGTTAATGGTGATGTTGAAAGTCTGCTCTTTGGCCTTCTCAGATGAAAATATAATAGGGCAATTTCTAGGTAGGAGTCTCTTATCAACCTAAAATGATACAGCATCATGCTTATTAAATAGCCTTACTATTCATAGTATTTTAAATTATTTGTTGATAATTTCTGGCCTTATGAAAATACAGTCAAAACCAGCATAGATCCCAAATGCACCCTCTTTTCATAGCATTTTTGGCCAAAGACACCAGCATCTTCCTCCCCATAGACTGGATGCTCTTGATGAGAGCTGAGTATTCTACCTGTCTTATGGTGGGAATACTCCGTGCTATGACTGCTATGCAGCCCACCCTTGACATCATTCTGGAATATTCCAGCATAAAAGGCACTATAAAGAAGTGAAGGTCAAGACTGGGGAAACCCACCTTGAATACCAGTTCCTATCTGTCCTCCTACACTAATTGAAATTGAAAGAGAAACATAGGGTTAAGCAGAAAGCTATGATTTGGAACTGGCTCTGTCTGTGTTCACTATGAAACCTGTCAGCTGGGGCCATATGGATCACTTCAGCAATAATAATGGGGGCTTATTCTCAATATTGAGGGGAATTTTATACAGAATTAAGTTGATCACCCCTCTTGCTGATGACCAGAGTGAATATTCACATAAATCCCCTCTCCAAACAATTTCACAAGCAATGAGAGCTGTAATCCTGGGATAGATGGGAAATCTGGGTATATGCTAGAAGCGTATTTCATCATGGTAATGATCATTATCAACTACTACCACTACTGAAGATAAGGCAATCTACTTCCATAGTATACTGCCTCGGAAACCCAAGGAGGGGTCGCTATGAGTCGGGTCTGACTCGATGGCACACAACAACAACCACCACCACCACTACTGAAGCCTTGGGTCAGAGCCAAGAGTAACGTGCTTGGAAATAAGTCAGTAAACCTGTTGGACAGATGTACCCCAGTGAACTAGCATGACATGAAGGGGCCACTCCCTCATTCCAGCCTTAAATATTTGATGTTGTAACAGAAAACAGGGCTAAAATCAACACACACACACTTTGCTACAACAATGCAAAGATATTTTAACTTTTTTTTTTTTTTTTTACCCTGAGTTTTGATCATTTCTCAGGCTTAGTTGTATAGCTTCAAATAAACTCTCAAGTTGGAAATGTGGAGATTTCTGGTCTGTCAATATCTGACGTTCTATTTTGCCTGGAAGAAGAAAAAGATATACAAAGATGCATTTTTCCTTTTAATATCAGTGAGAACTTACAAACAAATATTCATGCTGGAAATTCAGAAACTGGGTGTGCTGTCCGTGAGTGTATTTCCTGCTAGAAGGTAATCAGACCAGGAGTCCCCAGGGCTGGGACTGGTCAGCACTGCCCAGCAAATGGCTCCCCTGCCTCCAGTTAGTAGAAGTGGAGAGACTCTAGGCAAGGACAGTAAGTCATAGATTCTTTTTGGTTTCTCCAGCACAACTGTTCTCCATCTTATTTTTCCTTTCCACTTCCTTACTTTGTGCTTCTCCCTCTCACTCCTTTTTCCTATATTAATATTACTTGTTCTCCTACCATCACAAAGATAACAGAAAACATCTCCATTAAAAACAAAATCGCAAAAGGTCAGCAAATGTTGGAAAACCATCACAGGGACGGAAATGCTCTACCTCCCACACATCTCCCAACCCTTACGTGAGCTGTGGCTTTCAAGGGTAGGCACTGGAGAGGCCCATAGAGAGCAAAAAGAGTAAGAGAAGAAAATCTTATAATCACTCTTAAGAGGATTCACAGGTATCAAACAAGATGCAGAAAGAACACAGAGCCCATCAGAATTGAATTCATGTCCGACATCACTTAGCAGATGCTGGCTTTTAGAAAGCTGCTTAATCTGTATGCGTCTCATGTTCCTCATCTTCAACTGGGATCAGTCATCTCTACCTTAACGAGCAATCTGAGATGTAAAACACTGACTACAACACCTGGTATCTAGTAGGTACTTAAAACAATGGCAGCAATCATGTTATCACCATCATTCTTATTCTCATGGATAAAATGGCTACAGGAAAATAATATAAATGTAGTAAATATGTGTTGTATAATAAACACAGGTAAACACTTAGCTGTTAACTGAAATGTCTGTGGTTCAAACCCACCAGTGGCTCTGTGGGAAAAAAGACCTGGTAATCTGCTCCCATAAAGATTACAGCCTTGGAAACCCTATGGGGCAGTGCTATTCTGTTCCATACGGTCGCCATGAGTCAAAATTGACAGGACAGCACACAATAACAACATACCATTTATTTTAAGTGGGTGGCATAGTGCCTAAGGCATTTGACTGCTAACCAGAAGGCTGGCGGTTCAAACCTACCAGCCACTCCTCGAAAGGAAGGTTGGGCAATCTACTTCTGCAATGATACTGCCTCAGAAACCCAAGGAGGGGTTGCTATGAGTCAGATCTGACTCAAGAACAGTGAGGTTGGTTTGGTTGTTTGTTTTTTAAGTACTGTTATAATACAGAAAAAAAAAAAAAAAAAAATCTGCCAAGCATAATATAAGTAACATTATTTATAACTATGTAGCCAATACTGACGTTTTTGAACGAAATATAAAACTTCACGTAAGGAGGGATAACTATAATCATAAAAAAAGCTAAATAGTACTTTTTTTTTTCTTGCTAGATAAAAAATTGAAATCAGCAGTGGTCTTTTCTCTAAAACTGAGTCTGGCAGGAGTCCCAACACGTTTGTCGTCACCGAGCCCTTTACAGGTAATGCCCAGGTTTTCCAGAAGCTCATTGTTAACAGAAAAATAAGTTTCATGAACTTTATCATAATTTGAATTCCAGGCACATTTTACCTTTCTGAAAAAGAATTTCAGCTTCTACCTCATGTTCTTCCATTGCTGATGTCTTACAAAGCTTCAATGCCATTTCAAAGAGATGAAAAGCAGGTGACCATTTTAAAGGGTCCTTCTTTTTATTGGTGTAATGTATTTGCTTGGCCATAGTATGTCCTAAAAGAAGCACAGTTGGGTGAGGAGAGAAAAATAAAGTACACAGGTTTCATAACAAGCCTTCATGGCACCAGACTTCTCTCACAGAAATGACATCTGTTAACAACCCAGGTGGTCTTTACAGTTTTTCATATCTAAGAAATATTTTTAAAGAAATGCAGTGCCCAATGTTTTAATGAAATATGACAACAGCCCTTAGCACACTATCTTTGATTGATTTTCAACATATTTGTTATTTTTAAAATAAAGGATATTATCTCCCAAGACTCTTTCAGTTCTACAATTTCATGATGTTCTACAAAGCGACTTCCATGTACTTATGATGAGGTTAATGAATGAGGGATGCATCTAGAAGATGTATGTTGTTTTCCATAAAATTTGCATATATTAATAGCTAGTTGTTTTCTTCTACTTAGCATTTGCAGTAGTTGTTGGCTATACATTTGTCTGGCGTTGTTATGGACGAGGGCTACATGCTATACATCTTGCGTGGAACCATCACTTAACAAAGTACTGTTGTGTGGAAAAGGCATTAGATTTATTCCGTGTGACCTCAAAGACAGACACAAAGACATTTGCTCAACAAATATTTGCTGAGTTCTTACTGTGGGCCAAGTACTGTGCTAAGCATTGGATAAAAATGAAAAGAGAGAATAATAAGTGCTAAAAACAAAACAAAACAAAAAGCCCACCAAACTCACTTCCATTGAGTCAATTCTGACTCATAGTGACCCTATAGGATAGAGAAGAACTACCTTCATAGGGTTTCCAAGGCTTTAAATATCTACAGAAGTAGGTTGACACATCTTTCTCCAGTGGATCAGCTGGTGTGGCTAGTGGGTTCAGAGCACCAGCCTTCTGCTTAGCAGCTAAGCAGTTTAACCACTGTGCCACCAGGTCTCTTAATAAGAGTTAAAATTAATTAAATTTAATATTATATGAGATTCCTCCATGCCAAGCACCTTCTCAAGTATTAAATAAGTATTATTTTATGTAGTCCTCACAACTTTGAATGGATACTATTATTATGGTCATTTTACCAGGGAGAAAGTGGTGGCACAGAGAGGTTTAAGTCACTTGGCACAAGAACACATGACTAGTTAGTGGTAGAGCTATGATTTAGCCTCTGTAGTCTGGTTCCAGGGCCCATGCTTTTCCTCGTAAGGAGGAGATCACAGAGCTTAGTGCTTAATGGGGAATACAACTGGCCAGACAGCCAGCACACTGTCAGTGGTCCTGCACAGGAAGCACAGAGGACCTGGTAGCAGGTTACAGGGAGCCCTAGCCCAGATCAGGAAAAGGTCAGGGAAGGCATCCCAGAGAATAGGGATGTCTAGGCCATAGCTGATGAGCCCCTTGTCTTTTGATGATTATAAAGAAGAAAAACTATTGGGATAAAGAATAGAAGGCAACTAGCAGAAATAATACATTAATGAGATATTTTAACGTGTACACTGCTGTTGTCGTCAGGTGGTGTCGAATTGGCTCCAACTTATGTACAACAGAACAAAACACTTCTCAGTCCTGCACCATTGTCACAACCCTTGCTATGTTTAAGCCCGTTGTTGCAGCCACTCCATCAATCCATCTCATTGAGGGTAGTTCCTTTCTTTGCTGACCTTCTACTTTAGCAACCATGACATCCTTCTCCAGGAAATGGTCCCTTCTGACAACATGATCAAAGTAGGTGAGATGAAGGCTGGCCATTCTTGCTTCCAAGGAGCATTCTAGGTACACTTCTTTGAGGACAGATTTGTTAGTTTTTAGCAGTCCATGGTACTTTCAGTATTCTTTGCCAACACCACAATTCAAAAGTATCAACTCTTCTTCAATCTTCCTTATTCACTGTTCAGCTTTCACACACATATGAGGTGATTAAAAATACCATGACTTCGGTCAGGTGCAACCTTCGAAGTGACATCTTTGCTTCTAAACACTTTAAAGAGGTATTTGGTAGCAGCTTTACCCAGTGCAATATGACATCTGATTTCCTGACTGCTGGTTCCATGGGTATTGACTGAAACCCCTGACAACATCAATCTTTTCTCTGTTTATCATGATGTTGCTTACTGGTCCAGTTATGAGGCTTTTTGTTTCCTTTATGTTGAGTTGTAATCCATACTGAAGACTGTAGTTTTTGATCTTCATCTATAAGTGCTTCAAGTCATCTACACTTTCAGCACATAAGGTTGTGTCATGAGCGTATGTCAAGTTGTTAATGGTTCTTTCTTCTTCCAATCCTGATGCTGTGTTCTTCTTCATTTAGTCCAGCTTCTTGGATTATTTGTTCAGTATACAGATTGAATCAGTATGGTGAAAGGATACAACCCTGACACAAGCCCTTCCTGATTTTAAACCACACAGTACCCCCTTGTTCTGTTCGAATGACAGCCTATTTGTGTGTACAGATTCCTTATGAGAATAATTAAGTGTTCCGGAATTCCCATTCTTTGCAATGTTATCCATAATGCGTTATAATCTATACAGCTGAATGCCTTTGCATAGTCAATAAAACACAGGTAGACATCTTTCTGGTATTCTTTGCTTTCAGCCAAGATCCGTCATCAGCTATGATATCACTCATTCCATGTTCTCTTCTGAATCCACCTTGAATTTCTGAAAATTCCCTGTCAGTATACTGCTATAACTCTTTTTGAATTATCTTCAGCAAAATTTTACTCATGTGTGATATAATGATATTGTTCAATAATCTCCACAATTCTGTTGAATCATCTTTTTTTGGAATGGGCACAATATGGATTTCTTCCAGTCAGTTGGCCAGGTAGCTGTCCTCCAAATTTCTTGGCATAAAGAAGTAAGCACCTCCAGTGCTCTATCCATTTGTTGAAACATTCTGTGGATTCCTGGAGCCTTGTTCTTCATCAGTTTCTTCAGTGCAGCTTCAACTTCTTCCTGCAGTACCACTGGTTCTTGATCACATGCTACCTCCTGAAATAGGTGGACACCAACCAATTCATTTTGATACAATGACTCAATATATTCCTTCCATCTTCTTTTGATGCTTCCTGCATCGTTCAGTATTTTTCCCATGTTGTTGTTGCTGTTGTTATGTGCCGTTGAGTCAGACCCGACTCATAGCGACCCCTCCTTGGGTTTCCGAGGCAGTATCACTATGGAAGTAGATTGTCCCATTTTCCTTCCAAGGAGTGGCTGGTGGGTTTGAAAGGCCAGCCTTCTGGTTAGCAGTCAAGTGCCTTAGCCACCATGCTACCAGAACATCTATTTTTCCCATAGAATCTTTCAATACTGCAAGTCAAGGCTTTAATTTTTTCCTCAGTTCTTTCAGCTTGAGAAATGTCGAACGTGTTCTTCCCTTTTGGTTTTCTAACTCGAGGACTGTGAAAATTTCATTACAATACTTTACTTTGTCTTCTCAAGCATGCTTTGAAATCCAGGGTCTTTGTTTCCAGGGGACTCCCAGGAGAGTGAGGAAGCCAAGCTGGAATAGTAAGAATAATTAAGTTCTTTCGTTTCAGCATTTCTTCTATTTGCTTTACTTACTGTATATTCTATGTTCAAGAGCAAGTTTCAGAGTCTTTTCTGACATCCATTTTGGTCTTTCCTTCCTTTCATGTCTTTTTAATGACTGCTTTCTTCAGTATGATGTTCTTGATGTCATCCCACAACTTATCTGGTCTTCGATCACTGGTGTTCAATGTGTCGAACCTATACTTCAAATGGTCTCTAAATTCAGGTGGGATATAATAATGGTCGTTATTTTGGCTCTTGTCAACTTATTTTATTAAGTGCATACTAGGGGATTTAAAAAGAAAGGCAGGATTACAGAATGATACAAATACCAGGTTTTTGTAAAATACTGGGTGTTGGCCAGTCGTTGGTATTATAATGTCATCTGAAACACTGGACAAACCCCTACATCCTTATGACCTTTGGGTGTCTTGCTCTGAAAAATGATGCTACAGAACTAGAAAATATCATAGGTTCCTCCAGGTTCTGAATTTGTGATGCTAAGATGCTGTTGTTATTAGGTGCCACTGAGTCAATTCTGACACATAGTGACCCAATCTACACTAGAACCAAACACTGCCTGGTACTGCGCCATCCTCACAATCCTTGCTATGCTTGAACCTGTTGTCACAGCTACTGTGTCCGTCCATCTTGTTGAGGGTTTCCTTTCTTTCACTGACCCTCCACTTTACCAAGCATGATATCCTTCTTCAGGGATTGGTACCTTCTGACAAAAGTATAAGAGAAGACTGGCCATACTTGCTTCTAAGGAACATTCTAGCTATACTTCTTCCAAGACAGTTTTGCCCGTTCTTCTAGCTATCTACAGTATATTCAATATTCTTTGCCAAACCACAATTCAAATGCGTGAATTCTTCTGTGGTCTTTCTAAGATGCTATGCTCCACAATCATCATCACAAAGGATGTTTCAAAATCCATCCTGAAGCGCAATGCTGTCAGTGATAGGATAATATCCATATGCTTACAAGGAAAACCACTACTGTTATTCAAATTTACACACCAACCACCAAAGCCAAAGATGAGGAAATTGAAGATTTGTATTAACTTCTGCAGTCTGAAATTGACCAAACATGCAATCAAGATGTGCCAATTATCACTGATGACTGGAATGCAAAAGTTGGAAACAAAGAAGAATCACCAGTAGTTGGAAAATTTGGCCTTGGTGATAGAAATAACACT